GTGCCTGTTTTCATTGTAAATGACAATTCAAACTAAACAGCGTAATTTTCAAATACACAAGGCTGGAATAAAGAAAGAATGTCAGGAAAAAGTATAAACATTCCAAATTACGGCAGTATTGCCGCGCATATTTTTGGCAGTTCAATACATCTCACACAGGCAACTGGGGGCAACTCGGCCGTTTTTTCTGCTACCATACAAACTAATTTCCAGTAATTGTGCATCGTCTAAAAAATAAAACATATCTGCATACGTGTACGAACTATATCATTAATTAACGAAGAAGCTACATTTATATAAAACAACCCTGTTCAACGAGCACTTCAAAGGCCTCCAGAACCAGCATCTGCGAACCAGCGCAAGCAAATTGGCACGCGCAGAGTCAGTGTCGCAAGCTAATTTGCCGACCACCCAAAGACCTTTGATATAAATGCCATTTCAGATGTCTGCAAAGCTGGATGTAATACTCTCTTCAATCATGAACATGCAAGGGACAGAACTCCAGCGTCTGAAACACGCCGCCGCTTCACCGACCCCTCACACGATTGCCTTGTACCGTGTGGACCGACAGAAAGGTTCATCGGCGGAATTGCCTCCGCCGATAGCTTTCGGGATTTGTAACCCAATTATACAGGTAAAAGCGACAAGCATGCTTATAAAAGGTACAGAAGCATGTCAATATCGGCCTAACTCAACGTCCTGTACACCGGGTAAACGAGGTCCCACTCCTCGAAGTGCTTGCGGCACACAACGGCCAAACCAGGAAACCGTGGCAGGGAAGCGAGCCGGATGCGAGATCGCGAAGCGGAGTCCTTCGCCTGACGTCACGGTGCACCTCACCCAATCAGGGCTCGGCGACCGCCTGCAGCGACGCTTGTGTTCGCTCTCGGGGCTAATACCCGCGACACCACACTTTACGTTTGTCGAACGGCTTGAAAATATCGTCACAGCGTGTTTTAGTCATTTTATATTACACAAGAAAAGCATATTAGATGTTCTCACTATGATCAAGGCAAAGTTCCCACAAAGCCTAGGACTAGAATGTCCTGCTTATAGCAGCAAGCTGTGCGCAGATGTTCTCAGCTTTTACATCCACACCCACTTGCACTTTTTCACCAAAGCACTAAATCAGGCAAGAGCTGCGAAACGCCTGGAAATGAAGAACTTGAAGATGAGGCGCGTAACATGACTCCGATAAGGGGCAAAACCTGTGCAAAATAAAAGCTTTTTTTTTTTTTTCGATTTTCACGACGAATTTTTTGTGCAGTCATTTTTATGGTCTTTTTTTATAATTTGTTTTTCGAGTGTGTTGTTTGTTTCTAGTAAACACGGATTTTCTTCTGTATCGCCCTGGATTATGATGTCCCCAATTGGCCGCTCGTGTAGTGTTATTAATTATAGTAATAAACAAAAAATAGATGCTTAAATGGCGTTTTTTGTAGGTTGCGATCCATGGGAATAACGTTCTATACTTACTTTCAAAAGTTCGGCCCTGCGCTACAAGAAAGTTGTTTAGCACAACGCTTTGTAGATACAACGATTCGTGTGCCCACCAAAGCACCGAAGCAGCGGATCGGCCTAAACGCGCTGTTTTGTATCGACTGCGTGAGTGCGCTCGTAACGGCGGATGGTGTAACCCAAGGAGGTTAGAAGTACTAGGAGGGGGCACGTTGCAATATTGGTGAAGCCTAGTCATAAAAAGTTTAAACGATTTTGTGCCCAGCGTGACCGCAGATCTCTCTGGCGATTGGTGCGCGTGACATGTCACGTGTGAGATGGATGGTTGATTGTAGAAGGACTCCTTGCAGGCTTGCGCGCGCTCCGTCCGGTAGGTTTTATCAGGTCGAAGTCTAGACTGTGGTGTGTTCTAGTACCCCACAGCAAGACGAAGTCTAGCTACGGTCACGTGATGTGGTCACGTTGGCATGGTAAGTGAGGAGAGGAAGGAGGAAAATGAGAAAGAGGCGAGGCGTCAAGGGAGCATGGCTTGTGGAGGCTACGCGGTCGACGTCATGCCCTCTCCTACCCTTCTATTCTCCATGGTGTAACCGCGCTACTTGAACAATTAGAGAATGACACGCAGCAGCATAACACGGGAATAATAGGCAGTTTTATTATACTCTTCAGGACATATGATTTTGGAAATATTATTTTTATAAAAATATAATTAAAACGGCGAGTCAACGGAGCGGAGCCGGAGGGGCCGGAGAACTTCAGGCGAAGGCGGTGGTGGCGCCCTCTACTAGCATCCAGAGAAAGAGTAACCTCTCCGCATGGCCATGCTCTCCGTCCAGCTCACTGGTCCAGCTTGTGGACTGACTACTCCTCTCTAGTTCACTGTTGAGTGTCGCTGCGGCCGATGCCATCTGTGTCGTGGTGTGGGTCGTTTGTTGGAGTAATGTTTGAATAGAAGACTACCCTATTTACTCGAGTAATAGCCGCACTATTTATGAACAAGGCCCTTGTGTCTACTTTCCCGCAAAGCACATATACGGCCAATCATCGCGTTGCGCATAAATAACACCAGATTGAGAACAAGATTCTCCATACAAAGAAATCTTCACAGATGTTATCTTCGCGCAAAGACGTTATCGCTGTCCTGTAAACCGCTGGAATCATGCTGTCGATCGTGGTGATTGGCAATCCGCGTGCTCCGCGGTAAAGCGAACCCTCAGGTTTTCTTCATAAACAGTGCGGCTATTACTCGAGTAAATACGGTATTTAGCCAGAAATTTATAATATTAGCCTTTTGACATCCGCGGCCTTCACCAAGAAAATTGAGGTGGGTGAACCCACACTACCAAGAAAAGCATCTAATAACACGCACGCTACTGCGTTGCTCGGTTACACCGGTTGGTTCCACTCGCGGCAGTTATATTTTTTTTACAATGGTTTGTTTCACTTGTCCTGCCAACGAACGAACAGCTTCCGGATCGTAACTAGAAGAGGCACTCCCTCCTTGTCGCAACGTAGTCAACGTAGTAGAATTGTTCAGACTCCGAAACACTTACCCACACCATGGCACAGTAAAGGGAAACATTGGCTGCAGCGGAATTCAATAGCACGGTAATTTTCTTTTGATGCTAAATTTTTAATATGTCTGCCAAAGCTAAAAGTTACAAAAAAAAATGCATAGAACCTGCGATTTCACAGCCCACAGTACCCGTGTTATGTTATCCGGGTTGGATGTCACTGTTTTGTTGAATTCCCACGCTGGTGAACCAATACATCTATTCTCAAAGAAACAAATATTTAACATAAGTAAATAGTGCAGTTGACCCAGGACAGGCATCTGTTGTGGTGATTAATACTTCTCAACGTCTGCCTAGAGCAGACGACGCATCTACGCAAGGCCGTACGCTGGTAACGCCATTCGGCCTTCACTGAAGCACCGAACGGTACCGCACCATTTGCCGCTAAAATTGTTTTCCCACCGATATTGTGCGACAAAGTAAACGCAAGAACCTTCACCTTCTCACGCGTGAACGTGGAGGGCCAATGCGGCGGCTACCGCGGCTACACTGTAGCGGCGGCTATGCCATTCCCCGCTTTGACAAAGATGAAAGCGGGACAGTAGCGCCACCTCTGGGTGGCTAGACGCGCTAGACGCTATGTGCGGCTGAAGTTTCGCTCCTCCCAGGCTCCTCCTGGCGAGGCGCGCCGATCATCTCAGAAGCACGAGGAGCAGACGACGCGGGAGGCTGGTGCGCTTGTCGTGCTGGCCTCGCGCTTCCTAAAGTAATGCACCGAATGCAAGAGGTACCCAAATGTCACAGCATCGTATTAAACAGAAAGGTATCCGCGTCCCGAAAAGTTTTGTTTGGTACCTGGGAGGTGATTCAAGAAAGATCGCCAGAAGCATGAATCGCCGGCTGTGCGGAGGAGAGGTTTAATTATTGTTTCTCTATCTTGTCGCATGATTCAGTAATGCACCTACGCTTGCTTGTCACATTAATAGGGACTTTTCGTGGGTCACACGCGAGAGCATGCAGGGGTTTTGCGTTGCTTGAAGGCGGTATGAGCTGGCGCCCGTGGGGCCCGCAATCCGACACTGACGTTCTACGATAAGTCCCTAATGTAATAGCTACGATGGTTCCCCATGGCTGTCTACAAACAAAACCCGAATATGCAGTTACCATTTTTTTTTATAAAATACTTTAAATTTGAGAACCAAGCTCACTTTGCTTACCCGCCCATTTTGTTCCCCGATGTTAACAAGAGAAAGCGGGTAAGCGGCAACAGACTTGGGGAAAAATTAGGCAGTGTAACCCCTATTGCGTACTGACTTGAACGCATACTAATTGAAAAGAAATTTTGACGGCTGTATTCTAGTTTTCCTATATAATATTACAATGATGTAATTAGCCCACAACAGGCATACTTACTTCCTAAGTGCGTCACAAAATTAGACACTAAAACATCCCTGGGTCGACCAATTTGAGTGTGTTGGCGATGTTAGATGTTCCTAATGTAATAGCTATAGGATGGTTCCCCGTAGGTGGAACCACCTTAGCTATTACATTCGCAAACGACAAATATTCCTAGGCCTGGATTGTTTGCTCTACCCCGGAGACCTGACACACAGGCAACCTTTCTTTGCGGAGGTTCGCCTCCCTAAAAAATTATCACAGTTTTTTAACGGACAGAAAGCTTCAACGCAGTGCCCGCCATTGCAACTGGCAGCGCGATGGGAGCGAACCAGCCGAACCAGCCAACGAACGAACCAGCGAACGGCTGGGCTAAGTAGGGCGAATTTGGGCCACGGCGCGGCGCCACTGGTATCGCTCCAGCGCGCCCCCTGGCCCAGCCGAACGGTCCCAATCACTTTACTGTTGTTTAAACGTTTTATGACTAGGCTTCAAACAAGATGGAATTTGGCCCCTCCTAGTATTTTAACCTTCTTTACTGAAACTAACGTTGAGCTGAAACGAAAGTAGAACAAAAGCAACGAAAGCTCGCCAAAGTGCGCAACTGCTCAACGTCTTCGCGGCTAGTGCAACGGCCACTTCAGCACTCGCCATAACCAATGTAACCAATGTCTCGGTGCTATGGAGCTGCGACGGGAAAATATTTATTATGCGCGTTCTGCGGGAAGCTTGTAACGATTCTCACGAACTAATCGTGTAGATTGCGCACTCGATTACTCGTGCGAATGGCGATAAGCATAACAAACCGACTTCTGGCGGGAGTATTGTTGTTCTGGTCGCCTGTTGTATCCAGTGTTCAAAATCGCACAGATGTGACGACCACCACAGGTGACTTACCTCAGTGATAATATTGCTCGCTTGCTACGCATTCTTAGAACGCTGCCGAGCAGTCCCGCCCACTTTTGCCCCGCAGAAGCGTTTTGGTACTCTGTAACTGGGCCTCTTGTGTCGTTTGTTTTTCCAGAGTTCGGCAAACTATGTAACAAGTCGGAACAGTGTAGTTCCTTGGGTCCAGAGTTCTGGTGCCATCCGGACTACCACAACTGCACGTGTAGGGGCGGCCTCTTGTGGATCGTGAACCTACACCGATGCGCTGAAGGTGAGTTCGCGTGGCGCGCACCTTATTTCGATGCCTGAGCCATCTTTCTCTTTCAGCCGTGTCGCTGAAGGAAGAGTGCGAAGCGTCCGAACAGTGCATCGCGTACGACCGCCACAGCTACTGCGGCGAGTTCGGCCGCTCCCAACTGCCCCCCAAGATATGCCAGTGCCAGTTTGGTTTCAACATGAAGAGTCACGACAAGCAGACCCGCTGCATCGAGAGTAAGCTCAGATGCCAATTGAACACTTTGCTCGGTGCAGGCAATTCGCGAGGTGCCGAACGTTGTCGTACGCACCAATGGCGTAGCCAGGAATTTTTTTCGTGGCGGGCGGGCGGGCTGAAGCCCTACAAGCCCCTCCCATTCCTCCCCTGGCTATGTCACTGGTACACACTCAGTCACTGGATCCTGAAAAAGTAGTGCCAAGCTTCCCGTATGGCCGCCGTTTTGGTTCATGGAATGAGCAGTTTCTCTTTGCCTTTTCTATTCTTGCTGAGCCGATAGAAATTCCCGGTGACAGGTTGCTTTATAATGACACTTCAAATACCGAGCTTTTGTTGTCTACACACCGGCAAAACAAGCGCACATCCGTGCCCCGCCACCACATGCGACGTCTGTGCTTGGCGGCATTGAAAAATCATTTTCCTGTCTTGAAATATGCAAGAACTACAACACCATAGTAAGAGATCTGTGGAGATAAACATGACTGATAAGTTGATTACATACACAGTGCCAAAGACGCTTATATTGGCGAGGAACGTTTTCAGTACGATGATGCTCCATAGCGATTTTGGGGCAACTGGTTCAGAACGTTTCTTTCAAAGGTTTGAAGATTTGAATGGACCAAAATGGCGATTGCCATGGTAACTGAGATCAATCAGCCAGTCACCTCGCAAAGTTTGGTCGTCTGTATGCTCGTATCTGTTTGTGTCTGGCTACCAGGAAAAGATGGCAATGGCATTACTTTCCCAGGATCCAGTGACTTTCGTACACACTGCTATGCAGCACACCGATAGCCGAGAGTCGGGACGAGCCTTTGGTGCCCCGTAGCAGTAGCACGTTCGGACTCAATTGGTTACGAGATGTTTTGGTGGCTTATGATTCCTATCCGTGACGTCACGGGTAGGAACCGTGTGTGTAAAACGCACTGTGGATGCTTAAAACGAAAATGTTCTTAATTCAACACCATCAAAGGGGAGTCTGATATCACTGAAAGCAGAATTAATCTTATTAAAGATGTAGTAACGACCGTTTGGCCAATTGTGGAAGGCTCACACTTGCTTGTGCACGTCACCAATAGCATTCCCATTCAATGCCACCGTGCTGCAAGATGAGTTTTTTTTTTTTTTTTTTTCCCAGCCTAAGCCATGCCATTGTGCAAGCTAGCAGTTACTGGGTTGTTGCTCGTCCGCTATTCGCTGCATTCGGCCAGGGTTCCTTGCACTGGTGGGGCTGTTCTGTGCTCATTGATCTGTTTCTCCACACCAGGCTCATAGTTTCCTCTTCTCTGCAGTCCCCAATGCATTTGGAACGCCGTTGTTTGACAGCAGGGACACGGTTCCTATTGTGATGGGCTGCCTGGCGGCCGGGTTGGCTCTTGTCGCTTGCTGCGCGGGCATTGTGCAGTTGCTCAGGTGAGCTGCAGCCTTCTGGGACGACGGGATGGATGGATATTAACGGCTGTACCCTTTATAATGGATGGTTGCTTGCTTCATCTAGCCTAAAACTTAAACAGAACATGATTCCTCTTCCTCTCCCCCCTTTCCCCCTCCCGTCCCAAGCCAAGCATTTGAGTAACTATCACCAGGCTGTTGGGGTGATTGCCGGGAAGACCTGCGGGCAGAAAGAAAAGAATAAAAATCAAGATGATTTAAATATGATTTAAGTTATAATTTAAATAACACCGGTTTCCCTAGAATGATTTAAATCAAACATTTCCAGCAAAAAGCAGTTTCACAAATGTCTTTAGTTTACTGTTTGTGTATAATTTGATGATTTCAATGTGCATTTAAATTAAACAAAAAATAATTGAGCAAGAAAGGTTTATATCATGCTGAACACAAACAAAAAGCGATGCTCTTTTGAGCAAATCAGGGTGTTGAAGTTTCCTTCTGCTTTGTTTGTCAATTATCTGATGTCATATTGCATGCAAATCAGAACACAAAAGAAAAATGAAAAAAAAAAAAGAAAAAAAGAAAGAAAGGTAATGTCATATTGCAAGCAAATCAGAATATCAAAGAAAAAGCATATACAGCTTCTCCCAGGAACTAAAAAATTAAGCTGCTTTTGTTCAAGTATAGTTAGGGTTTTTATCATTAAGTTAATTCAACTGTTAGATTTAGTCATTTTTCCACATTGTTTTCAGCGATCAAATGGATTGATCAATCAATCTGTCATGTTTAAACTACATATACTGGTAAAGAAGTAAAAAAATCTAAATTAAATCAAGCAAAACCTTATTTATTAGCAGAAAGACCCCCAGCAAGGCTGTCTGTAATTTTCCTCTGGTTAAACCTTGTCGGCGTTATGCCAATACCGAACCCACCGGTGGACAAAGTTGAGACTGGGCTGGAACCACATGGGAGGGAGTCCCAATTTTCCTTCATCCCACCTGTCCCCCAGCTGTGCTAGTTAGTTGTACTTCATTTAATTTTTCCTATACAATTTCCGCCAGCCCTTGGCCTCGTGTTTGTTGCCTTTACTGTGCGGGTGCTTGACAGGGTTGCCAACATACATGTTTGCTCTAAAAACAAGAAGTGTAGAGAAAGGGGTGCCTCAGCCTTGTGTGCTGTTATCTTTCGAAGCCGTATATCAATGGTCACTCTCTCCTGACGATATTCGAAGTGCTACTGTTCCGTGTTTAACAGACTTCCTGCGTTTTTCGTGGTGGCCATCATTTCAAAACTGAGGACATTCATTTCCTTTACAAGCCCGAGATGAGGAACGATAAAGAAATGGACACAACTCACAAGGTCCATTTTCACATTCATTTGCACGTTTTGCAGAGTCAGTTGCTATTTCAAATTTTTAATGCTGTGGACTGGTTTTGCCGTCCAGAGCACAACAATAACAGAAATGTGTGATACGGCTTTCCCGCTATATATAGTGGGGAAGTCGGACGCAGAATGCGTTGTGCGTGGCTTGGCCCCTCAAACGAATCTAAAAACCGCAAAAGTCAAAGGGAGCGATACATGTGAAAGATGTCGGAAATCGTTGAGAAGTCAGAGAGACCAATACACATCTGGAAGTCTACAAGTGACAAAAAATCAGAGGCTAAGACACACAACACATTCTGCATCTATTAACTTTATGCAAAGAATCAAGGTAGGTTTAAAAGTATTTAAGTAATCAAAAAAAAAAAAAAAAAAAAGCCTCAATCGTAAAGCTAACATCTGAGCCTTCAAGCAAAGTCTAAAGCCTTCTACTTTCAGGTACCCATTTTTCCAGTTGGCATATATTTCATGTTCCAAGGTTGTTTTTGTGACGTGGCATATATTCCTAATGAGGCTGGATGTAACAAGTCTCAGGTGTCCAGCAACAGTGGAGGAGGTATAACTCGAAGACCGACAAAATGCCACTGGAACACATCTGTTTCTATAGCTGATGTTCCTCAGTGGCTCTTGCATTGAAAATCGTTTATTTTTTTCGTGACCTGAACAGCAACAAGGTGTTGGTGTGATCGTTCAAAACCGACCATAGCAATTGCTCTGAAAATCTGTGTAAGAAAAAAGAAATAATCCCTAAAGATTAAGCTTTTTTTTTTTCCAGGCAACTCATTATTCTGCCCAATTTTTATTTTTATCTCCGAACAGAGTTTCCTTATAAATTATTTAGTGAAAAAACTGGCAGAAATGGGCAGAAACAAAAATTTAAACTTGTACCAAGAATTTTGGAGCGAGAGCCTAGTTCAAATTGACGTCAGTTCCAACTCGGCGTTAGCGACTTCGGTTGAGTGATGCAGCCAAACGCGTCACACATTCCCGGTGTGATCGGTTCATTGGCTAGCAAAAGTGGAGAATGCGAGCTATGCATCAGCCTCTCTCCTGTCCTTCCTCCTCTGTCCTTTAATTGGGCATGCCGTCAACGCTGAGTGTTGTTTAGCTTCTGTTGGCTCCATCGAGGCACGACCTTTATCACCTTGCCTTCACGTGGGCAAAACGTTGGAATTTATCCGTTTCTCTTTCAGGATAAAACAGCGTTCCGGTCCGTTTAGAACCGGCGAGCCACAGGATCCCAGGGAGTCCGTGATGCTGAACCTCAACCAAATGCTGCAGCCTTACTCAGACATCATCCCTTTCCGAGTGCCACCTTGCAATGGTGAGGCAGCTTTCCTCACTTACACTGTGGCCCACAGTTCGGCTTGCACTCGAGCAGTGATATCCCTGAATTTTTCCAACACCTTATCCCATTTCATCTTGATCGCCTTGTGGGAGAGAATCCTCTAGTCTTTTTTAGACGAGTAATAGACTTTCTTGGTAATATTGGCTTTTTATACCCAATTCTAGCTTTCTCGTTATACTTTTGTGAAAACCTTCCCATAGTACAATGATTCTTTCAATTAGCTTGCCGCAGATGACCTCGCATTTTTTGTGCCATAAACCCCCAAAATCATCATCATCTAGCAGTGATGTCGTGCCCGTGGCTGAAGGCCTACCAAGTTCTTAATTGTTTTGTCTTGGCGTTGCCGTAAAACTGGTTTGCCCAAGGTTTCCAAGATAGAAGTGTTCTGCAGCAAAACTTCCCCAACAAATGGACTGTTCAAGTCCCTGATGTTGTTTTAGCCTTTGAGTACTGTACACTATAGACGCTTTGCACACGCGCCAGAATACAGCCGCCATTGCTGACCTTCTGTTGTTTTACCGAGATACCGAGCCACTGAAATTGGTGTGGACGAGCCTCCACAAAGGCCAATGCTGGGGAGAAAGACAGAATAAAATCTAGGATGGCAATGACCTAGCCTGCTATGGTAATAATGAAGGGAAGTAAAAGTGAGAAGGGGAAACAAAAACTGAAGGTCAGTTATGGCGGCGCCCATGCACAGCAGCTGCAAAGGGTCTATAGTTTCTGGTTTCTGTGTTCACATTAGGGTGTTGTTTTTGTACTAGGGCGATATCTGTGTTTGTGCACGGCTCGAGTGCACAAGATCAGCGCAAAGATTGCCTAAAGAAACGAGTGAGTCCAAGCAGAAGTTGCAGCAGTATGGAGCAGGACAGAACTGTTTCTCCTTTGCTAAATTGCTTGAACCTTTCTGATGACATATCTTTGGAGGGAGATAGTTGCACTGAACCAGTGTCTTAATAGTAATATCTATATATTTCATATGCTAGGAACAAAATGAAAAATTGCACCAAGAAATTGCTGGATTTCCAATGCCTATTTTTTACAGCAATGTGTTGAATAATGTTTGCCATACATTTATTTTTATTTTTTATTTATTTATTTCAATACCGTCAGGGTCGAGAGGGCATTACAGAGGAGGGGTGTGGGTAAAAACAACATGAAAAAGAACACACAAAAGACGCACCAATAAATAACAAAGGCCAACAATGCACTACTGCTAGAAAGTAAAGATTGTTCAGCCTGATATGTTTAGCAAAAGTGGTTAATCAGTGCAACTCTAAATATATCAGAGGACGTTCTAGGAATGAAGGAGTCAATGTACGATGTGGTTTTGGAGTGAGGTATGCCTATTTTAAAGTGATGATCGACGTGCTGCGAAGTAAAAGATGGGTGAGAAAAAGTGAGTCCTTCAGTGAGGCGTTAGAATGATAAATTTTGTAAAAAAAGACATAGATGGGGTATTTTTCGGTGTAGTGATAGAGTGGTTTTCATTGATGAGACCCTACCCGTGCGATGATAGATCTAGAATATGAAACACTGCACGATTTTGCATGGCTTCGATGTTATTCATGAGCATTGTTTGACCGGGATCCCAGATTGCTGCGGCATACTCGAGTTTTTGAGTAAACTAGTGCTTTGTATGAAATTAGTTCTATGGACATGGGGCTGAAGAGAAGTTTATTTTTAGGTATCGAAGCATAGAATTAGTAGTGGTGATGATGTGATCAGTATGAGCTTTCTATGACATGGTAGAAGTAATATGTACACCAAGATATTTATAAGAAGACAAACTGCAGAGGAATGTTACAAATTGAGGATGATGATGGTAACGTGTTTCCACACCCTCACAGCTCTACATTTGTTAGTGTTAAGAAACATTTGCCGCATTGAACAAGTCACATTGAAGTGCGGCATCAGTTTCATTAGTAATTTCACGGTAGGTTACACAGTCGTTGGCAGATAAACTAATGGGTGAAGATACACTTGTTGGTAGGTCATTAACATAAGTAAGAAATAAAAGGCGCCCTAGAACGGACCCTTGGGGAACACCAGAAGTAACAGGGCTGAGACAAGAATTAGCTTCATTTGTAGCAACGAACGACAAACAATCAGTTAGAAAACATTGAATCTATGACAAAGCATTGGGGCCTATTTTAAGTTTACTAAGTTTAAAAAATAGGAGTTTGTAAGAAAGTTTGTCGCACACTTTGCAAAAGTTGAGGAAAATGCAGTCAACCCGGGATTTCTGGTTTTCAATGTATATACTGGAAACCAGAGGGCCTAGTTATGTGATCATCAGTGGTGTAGCCGGGTGGGGGGCTGTTCATTTGGACGGGGTGTTCTGCAGCACGAGAGCATCCATTGGACAAGTTGGAGCTTGAGATTTGTTCCCTCCGTTTCCTTGAGGAAATCCTTCTTTGTGCAAACAGCTCGTTTTGCCAAGCCATTTGATGCTGGATGAAAAGGATTAGTCCAAATCATTCCACATTATCAAATACCATTTTTTCCGTTGTATAAGTCGAGGCTTTTTTCAAACATTTTCCTTGGTGCGTCTTATACAACGATGTAACTTTTATGCGGGTCTTTTTTTCATATTCACGGTGCGACGCCATTTTTTTATGCGCCGCGCACCACCTTTCGTAGAGTACTGTAACTACGTAGCCATAGGTAGTGTTGCCCCTTCCAGGAGGCACTGCTGTCGCCGCACTCTTCTACACTTTTCATAATTGCCTCGGAAAGTGAGAAATTTTACGGTTTCCTCGAAGCGGCTCAATGTGGATAGGCGAGACAGTGAGAATAAATCTTTTACAGTGACCTTATGTGATCGAAGTTGCCTAATTCAGCCATGGTTCTGTATTATTTTGCCTCAGTCCAGTAACACTGAAAGGTAAGAGGGCTGGTATACACGCTTTGCAGAAAATTTTCTCGCGTCTTTCTAATTTTTTGTTTGATGAGGAGTTATCATCTGCCATGCTCCAGCCGTGTTGCTAAATTGTAAAAGGAAGGATTGCGGCTAGCTGATCTTTTAGCAGTACACAAAGAAGTGTGTCAAGATATATCTCGTCTCCGTGACTTGGCCACGGCTAGGCCTAGTGTTCCAAAGCTTGGTTGATGAGTGTCTGGTACGTTTAACTTTCGTTCGCTCGGCATGTGTACGCTCAAATAAAGCCGACTGCCTTCTCATTTTGCGCATTTTAAGTCCTTTTGCTGCGAAACACTCGATTACCCTCGCCAGACAGCGCTGTGCTATGGGCATTTCTTGCTAGTCAAAACGTCAAAGTTGCCCGTCAAACGGTACGTGCGATCTAGCCGATTGTGCGAAACTCTGATTTACCTATACTAATGCGCGTAATACGAACAAACCCGTGGCGTGAACTGTGCAAAGAGGTGCGACTTATACAAAGGTGCAACTTGTATACAAACTTTAATGCAAAAACGGCTCAATGTATGGATGTGCGACTTATACACTTGAACCTCGATTTTACAAAACCCAATTTCACAGATTTTCCGACTTAACGAACAAATTCAGATTCCCCGCGCAGCCTATGCGCAACGTCTCCCTTCCTTGATTTTATGAAGTTCCCGATTTAACGAAATAATTAGCGGATCCTTGTGACTTCGTTAAATCGATGTTCAACTGTAGTCCGGAAAATACGGTACACATATTACTGGTTGCAGTTACTAATAATATTCAGATTTATTAAAAGGGTATTTTTTATTTGCTTCTAAACTTGATGTCAAGAAGTCGCCTGGGCCTGATAGGGTTTCAGACATATCGTTAGGAAAATATGCAGAATGGTGTTCCCTTTACTTATCCACTATACAGGGTGTATCACGAAAAATGGACAAATTCAGTATTGCGAAAACTAAGCATTGCAACAAAAAAGGCTTTGTCGTTTTGGTCCTGGGCCAGGGGCCCATTTACGAAAATTATTAAAGTCCGGGATAATTAGATTGTTAAGTATTTTTGCGTGACTGGACTTTTTTAATATTGGGTTTAAGGTCATGGTTTCAATTAGAAAATTGCTCAGCATCATCGAAAAACGCTAAATCAACAAATTGCAGAACAATAGAAGGCATGCCAAGCATTTTACAGCTTTCTGAAAAATTGCACAAATTCAACGGGTTTTTAAGTTTCGGTTTGCAATCGGAGCGCATCTCTGCCCCAACGTCACCGCGCCCCGTGGAGAAATAGTGCAACCAACCTCTGCTGCGCTGTCCTCGCGCAGCGCAGCTGAGGTTCGTTGCACTATTTCTCCACGGGGCGCAATGCCGTCGGGGTCGAGATGCGCTTCAATTGCAAACTGAAACTTAAAGGGATACTTCAACGAAATCTGAAACATTCCCGTGGTGTTAAAAAATAGGTTGAATATGATCCACAATATCCGTAAATGACAGTCGCACGTTTGTATTTTGAGCCTGGTGGCTGTACTTTTCGTTATAAACGGCCCACTCTGGCAAGCGCTCGGAGAAGGCCCAGCGGAGGCCACGTGACATCAAACGCAATCGTGACGTAGGTCGTCTCAGGACGAGCAATGCTACGGCGAGGCTGACGCCGAGAGGATGGCCTAGTCGTTCCAGCCACCGAAGCGGCTGCTTTTGTACGAATTTTGAGTGGCGGGATAATCTTCTGTAATCTTGTACGGGGACAATAGCGACTTCTGCGACACACAAAAGGCATTCGCGGGAAGAGGGGAGTTCCTCCTGCCCCTCTTCTCTCGTCGTGGCCGGAGGCGAGACAACCTCCGTCACTAGTTGTCAAGGTTCTTAGACGGGCATTACAAGCGAGGCGTTAGCGACATCCACCAGGTGCTCTTTGCTAATCGTTAATTCGTTTTAAAATTCCTTTTCGTGACTTTTTTAACAAGATATTGGTATGTTCGATGTGATGCTGCTCCTTTGAACACATATAGACCAAAAAATGAGCGCCGAAATTTCGTTGTAGTATCCCTTTAAGAACCCGTCGAATTTGTGCGGTTTTTCAGAAAGCTGTAAAATGCTTCGCGTGCCTTCGATTCTTCTGCAATTTGTTGATTTAGTGTTTTTCGATGATGCTAAGCAATTTTCTAATTGAAACCATGCCCTTAAACCCAATATTAAAAAAGTTAATTACGCAACAATAGTTAACAATCTACTTATCCCGGACTTTAATAATTGGTCCGTTTTGGTCCTGGCCCAGGACCAAATCGACACAAGCCTTTTTTTGTTGCGACGCATAGTTTTCGCAATATTGAATTTGTCCACCTTTCGTGAAACACCCTGTATATGAAAAATTATTACCTTGTGGAGGCTTTCCATGTGCCTGTGGTCCATTTTTAGATGGTGAAATCATGGTTAGGCCTAGGTACAGTTGCGTCAGTTTTTGGACCGAGTGTCACTGGCACGAAAACTGCGTTCAGTGTCGTAGGGGGCTTTCTCATCAGTTAAAAGAATGCCCAAGTTCCGTATTGAAGCGCTAGCACACTCGGCTAGCTTGGCAAACGATATCCTCTCCGAGTTCAGTGGACGGGCTAAGCAAGAGCCCACCCGACCGTGTGCGCCTTCTGCATCTTTGCTCTTGAACCTAGCAAGTGCCCATCCCACAGTTTTCCACAATTATCTCCCACTTTGAGTCGGCGCTTGCCAGGAATGGGCAGAGATACTCTAAAATCTATTTAGAAATACAAATACTGGGATACACGACAAAGACTGCTAAAATACTGATACTGATATACATCCATACAAAAGTATCACAATATGTGTCAGGAAATACATTTCAAAAATAAAAAAAAAACAAAAGGTATTTGGAAATACAATTACAGAAATACATTTTGCCGGGGCACTGATACTCACATACATTTAAAAAAAAAATTTTTGTGATATAACCGGAAAAAGTTACTATTTGTAACGGAAAAAGTTACTATTTGTAAAACAGAAACGAAATACCTATGTGCTACATATTTTATTTTCTGATATAGTAACTTCAGTAGCTTTTCAAATAGCTCATTGATCAGTCGCTGCCGATTTGGGCAAAGAGTCGTGTTAGCGAACGAGATTCAGCGTTACACAAGGGTCAACAAACACGGGTTCATGTTAAAAAGAAATTGGGGTGTGTGTATGTTTATACAGCCTAGAACTTAGTCTGCCTCAATGGGCAACTTGTCTCCCAGCTGTAGATGAGACATTTAGCCAGTGCAGTACAACCGCTAGCCTGGGGTCTTTAGCGTGCACCATGCAGTAGTGATGCACGAACGCACGCCAGTACGATGCTCATCCGGATCAAAAGGGGTGGGGGTGGGGATTGAACCCAGGATCTCTGGGTTCTGCAGCTCGAGCTTTCGCTCCAAATGCTCCGGGCTGGTGTGCACTAGCCCACTTGGCCCCCGATCCCCCCCGGGTTCATATTAAAACGAACGAAGAGCGTTTTTACACCGAAAAAAGTTTTAAACCATGCAAATATTGTTTTTTCTCTTTCTAATGCATATAAAGAGCATGCTTGGAGGTGGTAATAGGTGGGCTTCGTTGACAGGGTTTGTACCTCTAAGGCGAAAAACGGGTGCTCCAATGAAAACAAAAACTCATACTAACCGTGAGGTAAAGATTGAGGTTGAACTTGGGCGTTCTCGAGCCCGAAAATATTTTCACATAAAATTGTCCTTTTTTTTTTCTTTTTTTAACATTAAGTTGTGAGAACTAAGCGAGTCTTCAGTAAATTGAAATACTTTACACGCCGATTGCAATGCAGTTCTCCTTTAGATATATTGTACGCCTTCAAAGCAATGTCACGAGAGCCTCTAAATTTGTTTTTTATCTACCCAAATATCCCTGAAAGGTAAGCATCCTCTAGTCCCATGTTGGTGGTACCTTTTTTGCAGTCACTTTAACACGTCGCCTTGGAATATGATGATGTTCTTTTCTCTGATGATCTCAAAGAGAAAATTTTTTGCTCGCCCTAGTAAATGGGGCTGGGCAGAAAATGTGTACAGTTGTGAAGCTCGTACCCAGAGTGCCTTTAACGTTTTTGATTCTACAAAAGTAGTTGCTCCACTGAAGCACTCCGGAAGATATGTTATCTTTGGAAAATAGGAAAGACAGTCGCCAATGTCGGGGTCATACTGTTTGAAACAAAACTTAGTCTGCTTGATAACAAAGCCTAATGGTCCCATTCACTGTACATTCTACCCCTCTGAAGCATGAAAGAAGAAAGGAAACAGACTTTTGAGCTTTCGCTTCAAGGTCACTAATTATCGAATACTGAAATGAAATACATTGGCCTGGGATTATACAAGGACTACACAAAAAATGTATTTCGATGCTGAAATACTACATGAAGGTAGAAGCCGAGTTTCATACTGCTACTTGGCAGGAACCACCAAGTATCAATACCAAGAAGTGGCCGTGCCTATGGCACATTAGGGCGAGGGACATAGGCCTGAAACTAGTATGCAGTGCAACCATGGTGGCATAAAAAGACAATGAACATCATTCCTGTGATTATCCATCATGGCTTGTGCCCTTCCTCTAGACAAGTGGCAAGCCAGTACGGAAGAAACGTTGGCATGTCCCCTCGACGGTTGCCGGGGGTTGCATGAAAACTTGTCATTTGCCATGGATGTTTGGCATCTCCATTGAAGATAAATTTATATTTGTGGGTTTAATGTTTTGAAAATGTTCCACTGCATCATTCTTTTGTAGTTTCACAAATCGCACATAATTTAATCGGCATTTGGTTTTTCTTCCGCTTCTTTATCTGGTTGCTATATATTAAGATTGCTAAATATGAGTTGCTTATGTGACGGTTCTCGTAATTTGTCGATAGCAGAAAATCAAAGACTGCTTCCTACATGTGCATAAAATACTTTGTTTTCCTTCCCTCTAGGTTCCTCGACCGTCCCATTCTCGGGAGGCTTCTACCAGACCACGACAGGGGCCATTGAGGTGAGTGACTTGTCGGCCAAGTTCGAGCTGCCTGCGACATTTTCTCCAAATGTAGTTGCCATTCCTTGTTCCTTCGGAACATGGGCATTTATTGCCTCGTGATTAAACCTGGAATTAGCGTTTTTGAGCTGCTGACTTGCAGACGCCGGCAACCACAAGGCAGTCCTCGTCTTTGAATTTCGGTCAGGAATATTGGCTACCAGTTTAGCTGATATTATTATTTGATGGTGCCGGATTGAATCAATGGTCCTGGTGGGAAGGCACTTCAGTCTTTTCTCTAATCTTGTACGATTAACAAAGGGGTGTTTCTTCTTAAACGTCTGTACAAATGACAAGGGACGTGTGCTGTGTTTTTGCATCCTGACAGAAGCCAATGTATGTTTGTGATCGTGCCTGCTACAGTTGCACTTTTGAGTTCAGTTTGTGCCAATTGAACACCTTAATGGATGGTAAACGCTGTGTTTTTCTGTTGTTTTTATAATGAAAATTATGCCTCACAGATATCTCATAAATATTGCTTACAATTGAAATGGCCCTTCATATGGGACTTGTTGTTTCAGACGAGTTTTCAGGCGAGTGGCCCCGTTTAATGGATGGTACGCTAGTATCTGTTGCAGGGAAAGGACAAACTAAGAATTAGTAGAAGCAAAGAATGTACACTGTACCACACGATTTTCTCAACACAACTTCGGCGCTTTCTGTGCATTTCACTTCGAAAGGGAACTGGTGGGCATCAAGATTTGCCACCTAGCTTAGTACCCCAACTAAACACTTTCTGCCACTATTAATGCCAATCCTTTGATACTAAGAGAAAAACAGAAAACCAGCAATTGCTTGTTTGTGCTGACAGTGTCACAGAGTGCACCTGTGAATTGCTACATTCATTTCAACAAAGGAGGATTGATAAAAATATGGTGGGCAGTATCGCGATACAAATGTATCACGATAGTGTCTTAGAGATACTTTCAAGTATCTGTATCTCTGTATCGTGATACATTTGAAAAATGTATTTGTATTTCAGTAGTGAAATGCAATTACAGTGTATCGCTTGTATCGCGATACTTTGCCAGACTTAGGTATCTCGTTACATTTGTTGCCCTTTTTAAGATAACTTTAAAGAATAAAAACATGTGTTTAGTGCAAAGTGCTTCGGAATTTGTAACATGAACCCGCCCGATAACATAATCTAACTCAGTCACCGACAAAAAAAACAACTGTGGTTTAAAGAAGGTTACTTGCAAGATTAACAGTCACCTACAATCGCAAAGCCCTCCACTGTTTCCAATTTAGCAGAGCGAACGCTGTGAAGGAGTTCAGTGGAAAAAAGTATGACCCTGTTGTCCAATCTCCCCACACTGGGTGACACAGAAGCATATAAGACGACAATTTGAGATGCGCCCTCCCGGCAAAACAGGGCTCATTTCGGACAGACGCCTTTTGTCAAGCATGACACGCAGTCTTTACCGTTCTGTAGCTATGTGGTTCGACGGGGGTAGCATGTTTTTTTAGCGGCATTAATGATAAATAAAGAGTTTCAGGCAAGGGGTAGCGCATAAATTGGCACAAAGAGAGGAGAACAAGCATAAATCACCATTCGCATTTGCCACAAACTACACCCTCCCCACTTAGCACCATTCGGGAACAAATGTATTTCTATAAGTATCTGTATCTGTATTCCGAAATACTTTATCGCCGTTTCTGCTGAAGTATCTCGGGGATATCCCGTTGCGTAAGACAAATGCATCTCAGTATTTGTATTTCCGAATACTTTTTGGAGTATCTCTGCCCAGCCCTGGTGCATTACTTGTGGAGTGATCATTGCACAAGTATAGCAGTGTGAAAAGTTCTTGAGTATTCTGTACACAAATTACATTTGTGGAGCATGAAAACAGTCTTTCTGTCATTATTGACATACATAGTCTTCAAAGCTATCGTCATACGCTATTCTTCAAGTTTTTAAACTGTCAAACCCGGATATATTGAATTCAAAGGAGATTGTAGAATAGTTCGGTATATCAATAATTTGATATACAAAAATATGTTGAAAGCTCGAGTTGAAATTTCCTGGCGTCTTTGCTAATAGCGAAGGTCGTGACAAACGGGAGCTTACCAAATACTAGAGCATCTAAGAGCCGCTAAATACAGTAGAACGTAGTTGGCGAAGACTGCATACATTGCCGCGCTCGCGCTGCTGGCCGGGACCGCCACACAGCACAAGCGACAAAACACGAAAATAATAAAAAAATAAATAAAAGGAAAACGGAAAAGCGAGATGCATTAAAAAAATCCCTTGATCCATAGAAAAAAGTTAAGCAAGCAAGAAAAAAAAAGCTCACTAAATTTAGGCAGCAAAAAAAAAAAAACGGGCAAAGCAATAACGGCAAAAGAAAAAGGTAAACAAAGATAAGGTGTTCAAAGCGCGATTGCACCACCGTTTTTGTCGACACACTCGACTTCCCGAAGAGTTTTTTAGAGCGTAGCTCTTACGCGCCTGTTTCCGCCTTGAGTGGCGTCGCCGTCGGCGTAATTGCGCAGTGCATTATGGGACATTTCCCATGATGACGTCACGAGGGTCTCCAGTGACATCACAGATGTCGTCACTGCGCGTTGCATTATGGGTAAATTTTCCAGCTAATTTTAGCTGAAAAATTTCTCCGCTAAATTTAGCGGAAAAAATTACCCGCTAACTTTAGCGGAAAAATTTCTTCGCTAAATGTAGTGGAAAAGTTTTCTTACTAAATTTAGCGGGAAAAATTCCCTGCTAAATTTAGCCTATAATTTTCCCTGCTAAATTTAGCGGAACAAATTTCCCCGTTAAATTTGGCGAGAAAATTTCCCCTCTAAATTTAGCGGAAAATTTCCCCGCTACATTTAGCTGGGAAATTTAGTTTAGCGGGAAAAAAACTGTGCTAAATTTTTCCCTAAATGGAAGGCGAGCAGGAGAGGAGGAGGGGAGGGTACGGATGAGGAGGAGGAACATAGCCTCCTCTCCCTACCTTCCCCTTCTTCTCAAGAGCTGTGCTCTGATGTGGCATTACTTTTTTTTTTGCTTATTTTATTTTGGGGCTAGGTAGTCGCGCAGCATCAGCATTGTTGGGGAAAAGGCGCAGGCTACCGTTCCAACAGCGGGCCTGCTCTCTCTACATCCGTTACGTGCACTTCTCCTTGCTTTTGCCATCCTCCACTCTTTTTTTTTTTACGGTTCATTGTGTCCCTTTACCCACAACTGCTCTTTCGCTGTGTGTATTTTCCCGTGTGTATGCTGGCTTGGGGGTCTGCCAGCAGCGCAACGCAAGTGATATGCTCACACCGGCAAGGGATGTGCTCGCCATTGGCAGCGTAATCGAATGGCAGGAGAAGTAACAGGCGGCCAGGCTTTGTTTGCTTTATCTTGCTATATCGAGTGTCCCCCCCATGGGAGTTCGATACAAAAAGACAATGCTCCTATACTATTACATGGGCTTTTCAAGGGGATGTTTGGACTGTTTGATATAAACAATAATTTGAAATAACCAAGTGATATAACTGGGCTCGACTGTACAGTAAAACCTCGTTGATACAATTTAGGGTACCGCAATAAGAAAAGCCTATGATCCGGGAAAACGTAACAACCAAGAATGCTTTTGGAAGCAACGCAACTCTCACATAGCAATTTATTCCATACGGACTTCAACAGCTGCTGAAAACTGCCTATTATTCAAATACAGGTCAACCTTTTTTTTTTTTGCAACTATTGTTTAAATAGGGAGGTTGATCTCTAATGGCAATAAAGAAATGTAAACCTATAAGTACACCTTTTCAAAAAAAAAAAAAGAAAAAGCTCACTGGCCGCTGCAGTTTTGCTGATGATAATGCAACTAGTAAGATTCTTGCGACCCCTTGCGGCTAAAGAGTTTCTGCCACTGAAATGGCCTGTTGAAGCCTGCACAGTGCAACTTGCACAGCTTTCCACCCGTGTTGCGCATTCCAAGTTTTCCTGCCTTTTCTGGAAGTTTAAACTTTTTTTTTCATGCTCGTGTTGTGTACCCTTAGATCTAACATTTCTTTTGACAGCCCCCCTCCCCCTCCCCTCAAAAAAATATTGTTTTGTGGTACAAAACGAAAGCACATGCACGGGAGGGTGGTAAGGAGATCAATTGGGAAGGAAGAACAATCAGTCTTGCGACCCCAACCTCAACTGGCACCAATTGACCCCAACTGACACCGCGGATTGTGCAGGTGAGGCGAGCGAGTCACCGCGATTTCTGCTCCCGCTGCACAAGGGCTCGTGCAGCCGAGGCGCAATTGAACGCAAGGAACTCGCTCTTGTGTCTGCCATTCTGCTGGGATTCCACAGTTTCCAACAGAGGGCACACTTTTTAAAGGGGGAGATCTATGATGAAAGACGTATACACTTGCTGGATAGTGCTCTACGTCTTCACTTGCTGGATAGTGCTCTACGTCTTCACTATGCCTCGCAAGTGAAAGGAGCAAACTGAAGAGAACATCGCCATTCAGAAGCGGCGATTCATTGAGGCTCAGCAGGTTCGTTGTGCCCACCACATGTTGGAAAAGAGCGAACAGCGTTTGGCTAGGGATAGAGGAACAAGGTGGACTCATTCTGTTACGATTGAAGGCCGAACGGGGGAACAAGATTTCTCTTAATTTAATCGGCGGAATATAGCCTTCACAGAAGGTGCATCGAAATGCTGTCGCGTTTTGACATACAGTCGCCGACCGATTTTTCGGACTTGGCAGGGATTGAAAAAACGTCCGAATAATAGAGCAATCCGAAAAATCTGCAGATTAAAAAACTTGTTTTTATTACATATAAACGGGCTTTAAAAAGCCGTAAATAAGTTATGCCTCCGTTTGCGTTCGGCAACTATCTGTTAGCTTGAGAATCGCTGCCTTCTTTCCCAGCATCCCCGCAGGGGGCAGCTCTGAAAGCAGGTGTTTGGAGAGTGGCGTCTCCACGGACCCCGAGCCCCGCAGGGGGCGCCTGCACGCTAGGTGCTTGG